CACACCTCCTTTCCCAGGCAGTTTTAGCATATCCTACCTTCTTGTCTCATAATCAGCCATTTGGGTATCACAGACTTACTTTGACATATAGCTAACCTCTTAAATACTAAACCACCCCAACCAATCACTGTAAGCTATTAATTACCACTTTAGAATGAATCTCATTCAAAAGTTTTAATTAGTAATATAGGGAGAAAGTTACTCTCCTCCACTGCTAATGGGAGTAAGAGCTTGTAATACAAAATGGAATCCATTTTTGACAATGTGTACTAAAGACTTAAAATATTATGTATTGTTCAGCCTAGTGCTTGTACATTAGAATTATCTCCCAAAGAAATAATTTTGAGAATGTGCAAACTTCTGATAGTGAAATCCTAAGGATAATTTAAAGTGCAAAACAAGAACTTTAAATAAATGTTAGTGCTACCATTAAAATGACATCATAGGAGGATATTTAATGATAGACTACATAAAATCAAGTTAAATAGGCAAATTACAGAGCAGTATAATCCAATTTTCATGAATGTAAAAATGACTGGGAAGACATACATCTATTATTTTGGCTATCTCAGGGTGGTGAAATTATAGAGGAGTCTCCTTTCTAAAATTTTCTCATCTATATTATTTAAATACTACTGATGTGATTGCAAAAAAACAATAGAGATATTTTTTAAAATGTTAGTTCTATTTCCAATGTTAAATTTTTCTCACAATAAACATTGTCCAATTTCTTTTAGTCTCTTTCTTTCCTTTGCTCTTTGGAGCTGGTAGAGCACTAAATCAAGGCTATCTCTGAATTCTAGGGTCTATATATCCATCTGTGAGGGGTCTATCATGTTTTAATGTTCTCTAGCTTTTGCGAGATGATACAAAAGGAACAATTGTTCATATAACTACTTGAAAATATCATTCTGAGTTTGTAAAAAGATGTAGATAGCTTGGAATTGAAAGCATCAGGTTAATTAGCAATGCTTCAAATTATAGACCACTGCTGTTTCTTCTAGAGTGAACTATCAATTAGCTATGTTAATGAGAAAAGCAGGCGAGAGAAAATGAAATCAGGAGGAAAAAGAAAACCATCCATTTTAGTCCCTAGTTTCAACCATCAATTGTCAACACTTACTAGAAAAACTTCGAAGTATAAATTCTAATCTCCTGTTGAAAAGATGGGGTATTAATAAAAAAGTAACATTAATTCCTTTGAAGGTTTTTCTTACAAATTGTTCTTCAGAGAAGCAATATCCAAATAATAAAATGACCAAAATATAATCAGTAGGGAATTTAGAGACAAAAGATTTATGAATGGTTCTAATATAATTCCTAGGGGAGCTTTTTCAAAAATATCAATGTAGAAGTTCATTCCAAACCAGTTAAACAAATCTCAGGGGAAGAAGCCAAATTAATCCATAAGCTGTACAATGTATATTAAACTCATTCCAGCTGTTTTTGAGTATGTGCTTTCTGTTTGACAATAACAATCTTGTGTAGATCATCTCTGGTTCTTCCATGCCTGTTGTGGCTCATATCTAGATGTCCTCCTAAAGCCTCGTGTGCTCATAGGTGAGACTTTTTGGAGGTGGCAGGATCTAGGGTGTGTGATAACTAAATTGGTTTAGCATAGTTCTGGGTGTGGATAATCGAAGCCCCACAATCAATAGGCTTGGGTGGCACCAATCAATAGGCTTGTAGCCGGGATGGAATATGGAGGGACAGAAAGAAGGCAGGATTTGTGTTTCGTGCTTGCTGCTTACTGTTCACCATCTTCCACTTGCCACACTGTGGACAGTTTCTCCTCTGTGATGCCCCTCTGTCTTGCTGCTCTGCCTTAGAACCAGTCCTATATGGACTGAAACTTCTACAAACTGTGAGCTGAAATAAACCTTTTCTCTTTTAACTTTGGATATTGGGTATTTTGTCTCAGCAACAAGAAAAGTAACTAAGAGTTTCTGCCGTCATCTCCATTCTCAGGTTGGAGAACCTCTCCACTTTGTGTCCTGCTAATCCAGTGACTTTCAACACTTTCCTAATGGCTCTCTTCTGTGTTGCCATCTTAACTTTATGTTTTGATAAGCCTTCTGTGACTTCAGGCCTCAAAATCAAGATTTCTGTGTGTGTAGTTAATACCCTCATAGAGATTATCATTTACTTGACTATCCCCCTACATTAGATCTTGACTACTTTCAAATTTGCCTTGTTTTTCCTTTTTCCCATTATTTATCAGAAAATAAGACAACCATCTACTTGGTGAATTCATACAGATTAGTCTTCCTGACTGAGGTATGGCATTCTATCTAATAATTTCCCAAGACCACACATGGTAACTGTAGATACGGTGCCATTTTCTTCTCCTGCAGCTGTTCTCCCATTTTTATACACACCACTTTCCCCACAGTGATAATACTTTTTTTCTCCTTTTAACCTAAGCCACTCTCCTCAAAAGTCCTGACTTTATTTCACCATCTTCCAAATTTGTATGTAAAGAGTATCATCGTCTTAGTAGCTAACTTACATTGAGTATATAATGCTGAGTACAGCACAGAATGTTTAATCTTTATGACAACAATAAAAAGCTAATGCTACTGTTTTCCCCATTTCACAGGAAAGAAAGTGAGGCTTCTGAGTAAGTCATCCTTATCACACAGATATTAAAAGGCAAAGTTGGGCCTTGAACCCAGAAGTGTTTTCTTCTAAAGTATTTTTAGAAATATTATAATCTGAAATCCATATTTGTTTTAATTCTCTTAATTTTTATCCAATGTCTTTTTTCAGTTCTAGGATCACACCCAGAAGAAAACATTATACTTAATCATCATGTTTCTTAAGGTTCCTCTTGGCTATGAGTTTTCCAGGCTTTTCTTATTTTCTCTAAGCCATTTCTTAAAAAGAATACAGTCAGCTCCCATCACCTACAACACTGTAACAGCTATAATTCATTTTATATTACAATATGTGGTTGTGATCCTCATGGCACCTGCCTTGGTTACTTTTCTCCTTGCTGGGACAAAATACTCAATACCCAAAGTCAAAGGAGAAAGGGTTTATTTTGACCCACAGTTTGTAGAGGTTTCAGTCCCTAGCTGGCTTCAAGGCAGGGTGGTGTGACAGAGGGGCATTGCAGAGAAGAAACAGGTTATAGCAGGGCAATCAGAAGGCAGAAGGCAGCAAGTTGCAAGCAGCAAAGCAAGTCTTCCAGTCCCCTTTATCCTTTCCATGCTGCCAGCCCTTTTGGGCCACCTAAATCCAGGGTGTACCTTTCCGTTATCCATACACAGAACTATGCCAAGCCAATCAGTGGACTAATTTTTTACCACACACTCTTAATCCTAGAATCGCATACCCTAGATCCAGCTGCTCCAAAAATCCCCATCTATGAGTACATGAAGATTTGGGGAGACATCTGGATATAAGCCTTAATAGGATCTTTCCAGACAGATGCAGTAAGATACATTTTATAGAAAAGAAAGCTGAGTCTCGCAGATGAACACTCATGATCCAGGCCATAATGCTAGGAGACAGTGGAGCTGGTGCCCTGATCCAGGGCCATCTGACCACGAGTGTCATGGTCTTTTTACTACTCTGGTTTAGATGGATTTTTGCATGTGCTTTATTATTTATTTATTTACTAACTTTTTGGAGCTGACACTGTTTATTAACAAAAATACCATGGTAGATATCTTAGTTCATCATCCTAATAAACCTGTTGTTCTGGTTTTTCCTGTTGCCAGCATCCACAACTTCAACAATAAGAATGGTCTTCTTCATTTCACCTTGTAGAGAAGATAATTTGGAGGGTTACAGGAAAGTACAGTGGTACCTCAGTTCACAAACTTAACGCTTTCCACAATTCTGGAAAGATGGCCACATTTTTCTTCCTGCAGGGAAAGATGGTCATTGTCGTGTTCATCACCCAGTGAAGAGCTGGAAAACAAAAACAAACTTTTACCAAATGTGTGTTTGCCAGCAAAAGTGCTTATGTATTTGTCTCTTTGAAACATTTTCAAACAGTATAGACACAATATTTACCAAGCGATGACCAATCTGTCCTGGCAGTTCACTTCTTACTTAGCCATAATTACTCTTATAGATTACTTAGTAACTTTAGGTGAGGGTACCTCCAAGTAATGCATAGTTCCACAGTATTCAGCAAATGAATCAAAACCTTGTGGAGATTAAAAAAGATGCCACTGATGATGTGGCTCAGGCATCATCTTCCAGAATTTTGGGCTCACACTATTGATACCTCTGGTTCTGGTGACAAGCACTAATTTGGGGTTTCCAGATACATAGAAATTGCCAGGATTTTTTCTTGCAAGCCATTTGAATTTCTTTCTGTAACATCCCTTGTGATAGTACTTGGCTTTTCTATAGATGAGCCTCCTGTTTACCTTTTGAAGTATCTTTTGGGCAAGCTTCTCTCTCAGGCACTTTTTCTTTGACTCTGTGAAATCATTTCTCTTTCTTAAAAAATCCTGCCAGAGCAGGAACCTGCTTTTTCTCTTTGGCACTTTCTATGGTTTCAGCCAGAAAAGAACAGGTGTGCTTTAAAAATTTTGTTTTTATTAATTTTAATTTTTGTTTAATTTATTAATTTTGTTAATATAATATCAGAGTCAGAGTGCCACAAAGATGATCAATTTCTGGTCCAAGTCTTATCTAATACCCAAACTCTTAACACGGATTCTCCAACTCAAGGCTCTGCGAAGGTAGCCAAAACTGCAGCTCGTTTATTGTTTCAGACACTATCCAATCAAATGTGAATACACTCATCTTTCCCTCAGCGCCCTAAAGATGTGCTTTATACCACAGTGACTGGCGGTATCAGTGCAGTTGCAGGTCCTTATAGAACATTACAGCCCCGCTCTGTCTATTCTACATAATTGAGACTCTATTGTGGCTGATGACCGCTTCACAGTAATTTTGGCGCGCGCGCGCGCGCGTGTGTGTGTGTGTGTGTGTGATTATATATGCACGCGTGCTCGCGCATGCGCTTATCCTGGGAATTGAACTACATCACTGAACTGCAACCCCAGGCCTTTTAAGTTTTGATTTTGAGATGGGGGGGGTCTCACCAAGTTGCCAGGGCTGGGATGGAACTTGTGATCCTCCTGCATCAGCCTCCCAGAGTGCAGGGATTATAGGCTTGTGGCCCCAGGCCGGTTTTAACAATACTTTCTTCTCAGCACTTCTAATCTTCCCCTCCCCTCCCACCACACTTCCTGTCAGGCCGAAAGGGCCGGCCCCTGAACACCTCTTCCACCTATTTAAGTGAGACAACTCTGTAGAAAAGCTCTTGGGACACTCCTTTGAGAGGTGAGTCAAAGTAAAGGGGATGCTTTTCCCGACTCTGACAAACAAGTTAAAGGCCAACGCAGCCAGCGGTGAAAGCTGGAGACAGCTCCTTTCTTCCGGAGCCCCTCGCAGGGCAGAGACTGGAGCTTTGCAGGCCTTGTCAGGGGCAGGGCCGTTCGGGGGCGGGGCCGTTCGGAAGCTGCTGTCCGTGCAGCTCACTGTCGAGGCTGGGGGCAGTTCAGCGACCCTGCGCCACCAGTTCCCTGCCAGCGGCTCCCGACAGGTCACTGATCAGAGGGCAGCAGAGCAGGTGGAGTAGCCTAGGAGGCCGGCAAGGGAGTTGTCACCCAAGTTTCTCGGGTCCTCGTGCCCGGAGCCCGGCTCCGCGTCGGAACCATGGACAGCGCCCGCGGACTGGCTCTGGGGCGGTGTTTGGACGCCGCCGGCTTCTGGCAGGTGTGGCAGCGCTTTGATGCGGACGGTGAGTAGAGCGAGCGCTCGCACTTGCATTGGAGTTGTAGACCGAACCTGCTTCCCGCGCCCCTTTCCCTTCGGGGAAGTCGCTTGCCTGCGTCGTTCATGCCCAAATCTGGACACACCTGTGGAGAGCAGGTGTGGGGACGTCCAGAAACCTCTTGCAAACTTGCTGCCTTTCCAGAGTGTGTGCATGTGTGTGTGTGTGTGTGCGCGCGCTATTTTTATAATGCTAAGTGTTATATATGCACGGTGAGCTGAGTCTCAGTAATTTGAAAGTAGCCTTCCCTAAGTGTGCTTATTTTTACTAGTGACTGTTTTTGTTTGACCTAACACACTCGGAAAAGGAGCAGGAATTTTATCAATTTTCAGATTTATTCTTTGTCCACCAAAAAGAAAAAGAAAAAGAAAAAAAATTGTCTTAAAAATAAAATGAAACTGTTTTTTTTAATAAAGAAAAAGAAAACATCTAAAACTGTTTAAAACTGCAAACTGAGATTCAATATTTTCCTCTGTTTGGTTTTTCAACCTTCCAAAATCATTGGATTAGATTTTATTTTAAAACTTATGTTTACTCATTGATTACAATCTATGTATTTAATAACTTTCTTTTCCCAAAAGTTAATATAACCTCCTGCATGAAGCATGTAGTCTGTAATCTGTATTCACTGTCCACATCCATGTCTTCTGTATGTATGTGCTGGTACTTAGTTATTGGAGTAGCAAAAATGGTATCCATGGAAATATGTGTTGTGAGATTGAAAACAAATTTAGATAAAAGCTGAAAGTCACATGTTATTCTGCATAAGTGACTGTTGTTTATGGTTGTCTTTTTGCTTTTAGAAAAAGGTTACATAGGAGAGAAGGAGCTTACTGCTTTCCTTCACCATATGCTGATGAAACTGGGTACTGATGTAAGTACTTATAGCACTAAGGATTAATTTATGTGTGTCTCAGTGAAACATAAACATCCAAGTCATGTGTTGATTTGTATCTATTAATCTCATCTGACCTCCTCTCTTTCTTTGCATGCATGTGATTTTTCTGCCTCTTCTTGCAACACAAAAAGGTTTAGGTTTCCACTTGCATCTGTACATTCCATGAGCCCAGGCATCAGACACTGTTTTGTTTACCATGGACAAGGGTGTCTGAGGAAAAGCCAAAAGAAGGAGGTTAAACCATGCAAAGCCTTGGATAGCCACCTCCTGAATGTCAAAACTGGACAGTCAACTCCTAAAAATCTAGATGTCCTGAGACTTGGAAGTTTACGCATTTTCAGAAGTCTTCCCACTTTACTTATGTATAGAAAATTTGCAGTCAGTACTGAAAAAGGGAGTGCCTCATTTTCAGACACAGGGGAGTGTGGCCACCCAAGCACAAGGGCTTGCTTTAAGCTGAGGACACTTGAAGCTGTCTTCGTCTGAAGCTGTGGCCAAGCTGAGAGGTGTTGGTGAGAGAGAAGAGGGAGCCACCTCTTCAAGAGCAGGCTATCTGATCACTGGTGACCCCTCAGGTCTTGCCCTGTGGATCTACCCTCACACATGGCCAAACAGATCCTTGTAGAAAAGAGATTTAAAATGAATCACCAGTGTTCAGCACAGGTAGAAAATGTGACAAGAGGTCTCAGAGTCCTTAGACCAGTGCAAATCAAACTTTGGTATGCTTAAGAATGATCTGTGTTTTTACAAATGCAGACCCTTAGGAATTTCACTGTATTCGGGGCCTGAAAAGAATCTTGCACTGTAAGAGTTGGTTTGCATCTTCTTTCATCATCCTCAGAGACAGTGACTGCCTGTGCCAAGGGGTCCCACTATGATCAGGCCAGCCCCACTGAGCTGTGGCAGTAACCCCAGGCACCCCTCCTCAGCATGAGGCTAGGGAGAGAGTGCTGATAGATTTATCAAACCATTAACCAGAAATAGTACTACCAGCCACTGGCTCCCCAAGTGGTAAGTGGGGAAGTGTGGCTTCAGGGACCTCTGCTGAGTCATTCTGTGCTGCCTTCACAAACAGAAACTGAAAGTGTCTCAATTCTAGGCTTTTTGCCCTGGTCACTGTGAGCTGGTGCTAAACGAGTTCAATCAGGAGGGACAGTCACCATTGGCTGTTATGCTTGGGTGGGTGGGTGGTACCCATTGTACACAGCAGCTGGCAGAAGAGGGGCCTCCAGGGTCAGGCAGCCCCTTGCTCTGGGTGTACGAGTGGCATAAAGTTCATCAGAGGCCTGATCAGCTCCACTTTCTCCCACTGATAGTGCATCACAGGGATCTCAGAAGCGGGATTTTGAGGGATCTAACAGTAAGCTGTCTGCTTGTCAGTCCTGGAGAGCAATCAGCCTGCTGTAATTACCTGCTACTCACAGCCTCTGAGGGGACTGGCTTAGTGGAAACAGCTGCTACTGCTGCCCTCCCCACAACCCCATCTTTTGTTCTCAAATGCTGAGGATCGGCCTCTAAACTGGGTTAAATCTAGCCAGTGCATACTAACCAACAGTTTCTGTGTGCACACCTCCCTCATGCACTTGCTGCCTCAACAGTGAGGTGCACTGGAAGGTGCTAGTTTCAGTCTCACTCTGCCAATATTCAGGTCTCTGTCCATACTCTGGAGATTGTGAGTGCCCTGCTGTAATCTCAAGTCTCTGATAAGGACTGATGGGGGATTGCATCTGAGGGAACCCTAGACTTTGGGGGACTGGTCCATGGGATGGTCATGGGCTTTGGGGTTAGGGGTGAAGACGTGAAGTCTCTGTGCCTTCAGACTAAAGGTGGCACATAAAGCCTGGCCACTGCTTCTTTGGTTTCACAAGCATTTGCTCTGAAATCTAATTTTCTATCCACTTGGCCTATGTTAATTAACTTTCTTTGGGAATGCTGAGCACCCCATAAAGAATAGTTTATTCACTTAACAGGTATTATATTGCAGAGATAAATAAATAATTGGTTTCCTGGCAGAGTCTTTGCTCTAAAAGGTGAAGCTGGAATTTGAAGTGAAGGTCCAGCCCATGGAGTGACCTCCACTGTGCTTTCCTGCATGATGTGGGGACATCTGAGTAGTAGGGCTTCTCCAGAGAGACAGAGCCAGCAGGTTGGATATGTATGTCTGAGAGATATTTGTTAGGAAGTTGGCCCGTGGTGTTACACTGGCTGAGAAGTCCTATGACAGGACATCTGCATGCTGAAGACCCTGGATGCTGGTAGCCTTGTGCAAGTGTGGAGGCCTCAGAGCCAGGGCAGCCAATGCAGTCACTTTCAGTTTGAGGTTAAAAGCCAAGGAGCCCAGCATGCGGGCTGCTGGCATACATCCTGGAGTCAAGAGCAAAATGGCCTGGACTTCGAATGTCCATGACAGGAGATGAGCATGTCCCAGCTTTCAAGGGGCTGGGGACCATTTTGTCTTCTGTAATTGCTCTTTCCATCCCTGGCCAAGTGGGTGGTGGGCATTTGAACCAAAAGTGGACCTCCCCATCAGGGCCACTCAGACCCATGTGCTGACCTCCTCTGGAAAGGCCTCACAGACCTGCCCAAAGTCATGTTTTCTGAGGCTGTAGGTTTTCCTTCATCCTAACCATCGCAACATCCAAACATGCCCCTTGGTTCTGAGACTTCACAGGATGACCTACAAGTACTCAGTGCCAGTCCCATGAAGAAGCCTGGTGGGCAGGAAATCTTGGAATCTCAGAATCTCTGTCCACACAGGAAAAATACAATGTCGCTCTTTTTCTGAAGGTCGACTTCAGAGAAGCCTCTTGAGGTAGGGGAAGGAAAACTCTACATGGAAACAGAAATCAGACATTTGTGTCCTAGCTGACATCAACATGTCACTTCAATCCTCTGCATTTGTCTCAATTTTCTTGTCAACAAAATGAGAAGAATCATGTTTTGGCTTCCAGGGTCACAAAGAAACAGCACAAGTGAAAAAGGCTCATGTGGCAGTGTGGCCTCCTGTATACACGTGGCATCTTCTTGGGGCCTTAGCTGTCCCATTGTTTATTCTGGGCCCTTTCCACCTTCTTAGATCCATTAATGGATTCCTCACACAGGATAATTGAAGCTAACTCCCTTAAACACTGGAAAGATTTTAAGATCTAACATTAAACACATTTATCAATGAGATGGAGAGGTTTAGAAAGCAAATTTTCTATTTCCCTTGGACAATGGCTTCAATCACATTCTGTCTTTGGTCCCTCATGAGTAAGGGAACTACTCACTGGGAGACAGTAGACAGTAGACAGTCACCTCAGGGGCCCAGGACACTTGCTCAGAATGAGACACATAATCCATTTCCACTTTCTTTGCCTGAGATTTTGGTTCCAAATCACTAATATATTTTTTCATAGTTTTTTATTTAGTATGTTTTCACTTAGGAAGGTATTCAGTCTTTAAACAAGGCTCTTGACTATTCCCTGTCTATAATCATCAAGTGAATACACTTGGCTGATATATTTACAGAATCAATCTGTCCAAGTCCTCTTATTTTAATCATTTAACAATTCTAAATACAAGACCAAAGCCATCAGTCTAGCAGATGGCTTTGATATGCTAAAAGACTCAAATCCATTTGATTAGTACATCATTTACAAATGCTGGAGGTTTGTGTTTGCCTTTCTAAAAATTTAAAATAGTTGTATATATACATGCTTCTTAACAAAACTTTTAATTAATTGCAAAGTCTTACTTTCACTGCAATTTATTACAAACAAAGTCTATTCCTTACTGTCTAGTATCTGGTTGGGGACTGCATGATATATTAATGCATTAATCTCTTTCTATTGCATAGTCTTCATCCATTTATCATATTTTCTTCTAATCCCCACCAGCAAAATACAACAAGAAAAAAAAGGGACACAATTGCATTTTTATACTTGCGGACAAAAGTTTGTGGATGGCTAGACAAGCAAGAGGCAAAATACTGACTGACATGAAACTCAATGAGTTCCTGTATTTCTGTTACCACACCAGTCCTAAGAGTATAGAAAATTAAGGTGATATTAGGGGATCCAATAGCTTAAGTCATCTCAGCTCAGAGCATTTTTTCTGCTTTACTATTGTAACTCACCATCAAACATTTCCCATGAACCAACCTTCCACAATTAATGACACGATTCTAATTTCAGGGGTCCAAATCCTACAATGCCCTGGTCTTCCCTGGCATATAGTTGCTTCTGCTGGACAAGGTTCTCCTGGCTTTCCAAGAACTGGCTTTCATAGTTCAGGGTCTTATGATATCTAAAGAGTCCTTACATTTAACTGATTGCCAGAGCCTATCCTGAAAACAAGTCCTCACATTCTCCTTAGACTTTGAGCCATTGCTCAGTTGTAACTCCCCAGTGTTAGGCATTCTGCCTGTGCTGTCTGCCTCAATAGCAAGGTGTGGTGGTCAGTGCTTGTTTCAGTCTCACTCTGCCAGTGTCGAGCAGTTGAGTCACCCTCTTGAACTCTTTCCTTATCAATAAAATGAAAGGGCAGTGCCTCCGATCCTTGAGAAAGCCTGACATTGTCTGATCCTTTTCTCCTCACTCTCACTTCCAAAACACAGACTGATTGGAAAGAAGCAGGCGCCTTGATTCAGAGTGCAGCAATAGATAAGACTGCTGCAATTGGAGTATTGCTGTTTTCATACCTCAGCTCCTGCAAGGTAGAGGGTCTGTGGGACTCTTCTAGATTTCTCACTCATGGGCAACGTTCACCATATGAAAAAGGTCAAGTGCAGAGATGACAGTCCAAGGACAAGAGGGCATGTCTGTAAGGACCTCAAGACATTTCTACAAAACAAAAACTTGAGATATTTTCTCAGCCAGTGGTGGGAAAGCAGTAAAGGAGAGTTTCTATGTAAGGAGATGGAATACATACAATGAACAACGATGACAGTAACTATAAACCAAAACAAAAAGCTCCCTAAAGAGGAAAGCGTAGGAGGACAGCATAAAAACCAAGGGCTGAAGGGCATGGTGATTTTTTTTTTTTTAATCTCCCATGGCCACTGTGAAGATGCAATTTGTCAAAGAGCCTCAGTGGCAAGCTCTCCATGAATATTTATTCACCTACCCTGGTAAATTAGATGCACGTGCTTGTTATTCGCTGCCACTTGCCCCTCCCACCATCCACTTTTGCAGGGGACCATCAGAGAGGGGTCCCAGGGGCAAAGTGTCTGGGCAAAGGTGTCCCACACAGCCTTTGCTGGAGGGTGATGGCAGAGTATGTTTGGCTGACTGGGGTCAGGGTCATGTTCAGCACTAGATGGGTACTCAACAAAAAGTGGTTGCCCTGGGTTTTATACTTGGGCACAACTTCTTGTGGTGAGCCACCTTGTTTGAGGACATCCTATTCTAGGAAGGCCAGGAATCATGCTTGGGTTGTCTCAGACAATTCCTTTTTAATCTCAGGAGGGCTCATTCTCACTATATCCTACAGTTACTCTGAGAACTATGAGGGAGAAAGGGAGATGGGGTGAGTTCTCAGCCCCCAGGGAACAGCCCTGGATTCGTCCCAGGCACAGCGCACCCACTGAGCCTCCCAGGAGCTCAGAGTCACCCTTGCTCCCAACACCAGTGGTGGGTGGGGGTGGGGGTGGACAGTTTAGAACATCGCCTCTTCTCACCCCTGTAATTCACAACTGATGGGCTCAGAGAAGAAATAGGATGATGCTACCAGACAGAATTAATTTCACATGAATTCCAGCAAATATGGAATCTCAAAGGTGGCCAGTGTTTGGGGATTGTCTGTGCCTCTTAGCACTTGCAGCAGAACTGTCTCTTTTTAAAAAGATTGATTCATCTGCCACATTTCTTGGAGTGACCCTCTTTGGTGTATACCAAAGGAGATAATTAAATGTGTAGAAAAGGTTGTACATGGAGGAGAAATGTGGCATTTTTGCTAACTAAACACTTATTTTATTGCTTTGGTTTTCTTTTTTATTATTTCACTCATAATTTTTGTTTCCTCTGAGAGTACATGGAAAAAATTAATGGGATGGCTTATAGTCTCTAAAGCTGGACTTTTTAGTTAAAAATGGAAACATCTGAATGTTAGTTACAATATAGTCTTTTTTGCAAAAAAACAAACACTGATATTCAAATTAATTCTTTCATTGCTCTCAAATTAATTCTTTCATCACTGTCATCTCAGCTTCTTTTCAACCATATTTTATGTTTTATTTTTTGGTACTGGGGATCGAACTCAGGACCTTGCCCTTGTGAGGTAGGCGGCAGAACCACTGAGCTAAATCCCAAGCCTTTCATCCATATTTTAGTGATTCACTATAAATTTTACCTAGATGTGATTTTGATAGCTGGTTGGTTGCTTAAGAAATCTCCATAAGTGCTCTCTCTTTTACAAAAGTGTAGGATCACTCTAAATGGCCAAGGAGCCAGCTTTCCAAGCTGGGAGAACATAATGATTGAGCTGTGTGTTTTGAATATTTGCTCTCCTAACTATACTTTTGGGATCCTGATGACTTTAACGTGATTATATATGGCCTGTTGCAGGACTCAGTTATGGAAGAAAATGTGCACAAGATGAAACAACAGTTTATGACTGACCATGGTGTTCCTAAAGAAGGTCACATAAGGATGAAAGAGGTACCGTTCATGATTGTATTTGTCTTGATTGTACCTTCTTAGGTTGTGATTTTCTTTGAAAGGCAATGGGAATCTTAATGTTCGATTGGGAAATTAGAACTTTCTGCAAGGCAATTGGCTTGGATAACATTTTGGAACTCCCCTTTTTCATCTGCTTAGTTGCTTAGTAGCAAAGACTGCAATTCTTTCATCTTAGGTCAATCAATATTTGTACCTATTTTATGATTGGGGACTTGGATGATGGAGGCCTTTCAGGTACTTGGGTGAACATTTGTCTCTCTGTTATTCAAACTAATCCTTGATGTAAGATAAAATTAACAAGACGCTAAATGAATTTAAACTTCTGCATCAGCTCCCAGTAGAGGCTGGAAAGAGCTCTCCCTGAAGATTATTAAAGACAAACAGAAAATAGTTTTCTTCAACTCAACCTCTCTTCTTTTGAGTACCTACTAAAGCAAGCCAGTGTTTTTAGCTTGTAGCATCTAGGATGGTCTGCTTCTTATTGATCTTTCCTCCTCCAATTCCAAAAAGTGTTACTATTCAGAAAGAACTTCCACCATGGTTACATATGGCTTCCCAATGATGAAACAACAGTTTATGAACGCCTATGGGATAGTTGTATGAATGTCATAGAACACAATTACACAAAAATCGATGATGTAAGTCACTCACACAGTGTAGCCTCTGGAAGCCACCAAGAGACACCGGGAACATTAGCTGTGTGAGGCTGACTTGGAGTGTTTCACATCTAGTAGGAGCACGACACCTTTGGAATCAATAAATCAGTGAATGGCAATTATGGGCTCAGAGCTGCAGCTGGACTCTATCTCGCATGATTGGAGTCCTCTTATAATATGTGAAACAGCCTGTTACCCAGGGGATACTCCTTAAAATGACACTGGCCAGTGTCCCTGTGTCCCTGACTGCTATTCTTTGCTCCTTTAGCTGGCCAGTATGTTTTTGTCCGAGGATGAAAATTTTCTTCTCCTCTTTCGCCTGGAAGCTCCCTTGGACAGCAGTGTGGAGTTCATGCAGGTGAGTGTTAAGCTGTAGCCCCTACCCTCCTGTCCAGTCCCAAGAGAGGAGCTGTGCACAGAAGACTGAACAAAGAAGCCGTCAGGAGTGAGCGGGGCTGCTCCTGGGCTGAGGATCCTCTAGCAGGCTCAGTCAGGTATGCTATGAGTTCGGTGGAGAGGCGGAGACCGGCATGAGCAACAGGGACAGCACACGTCACGTCCGGTCTAAAGCCAGTATCCCTGAGGAGCTGCAGTGAACTTTGCCCCTTGGGAATACTGTCCAGAAATCCAGCCTCTCTGCGGAACTCACTCTAGCTGTGAAGGCACAGTGCAGTCAAAACGTAATCTACCTGCGTGCGGATCTGCTTGCAACCACTGTGCCGGGGTAGAAGCTGTAGACAGTATCCGTGTTCCCTCCAGCTTTCTTCTTTTGGATGACCCCCTCTGGGTTCTGCTGTTAGTGAAAATCACTGTGGGAGGGGAGGGCAGATCACAGTTTGTCTGAGGCCACAGCAATTGGCTCAAGATCACCACTTTTGTCCCAGGCCCCACTCCTTATTGTTGTCATGCTTCTGTTTCGAAGTGATAACGGCTCACCCTTTGGTATTATTTTGTTTGCCTTCATGTAAAATTGGAAAAGCACATGCTCAGGCAGTTCACAGAAGAAATTTGCATGGACTACAAATGGACACCGGTAACCTCCATAAAATGCAAATTAAAATACTAAGTTTTTTCAAAGTGGTAAAGATTTTAAGGGGGTCCATAAAAATTCAGAGTGTAATTAAGGAAGCCCAGAGATTGTCAAGGATGCTTTGTTGAAAGCCATGTCATGTGGGATAATTTTGTGGAAAATAATTTTGCAAAATTTTAACTAGGGTCCTGGAAAATTTCCCTATCTAGTGTTACTTTTTTTTTTTTTTTTTACCCAGGGATCGAACTTGGATCCTTGCTCTTGCGAGACGGGTGGTGGAACCACTGAGCTAAATCCCCACCCCTCTAGTGTTACTTTTAAAAGACTTAATAATTCTACTTTTCCAGGCATCTTCCTCAGCGATCTAACCAAAGACACATAGCCAAGTTTTTTTCTGTATGATCATGTTCATTAAATGTTGCAGCGTACAGTTAAAACTGAAAATAGTATAGAAGCCTGACACTGAACGAAGATGAGGTAAATTATGGTGCATTTATATGATTTATTCATTCTGTGAGTACTCATGAGTATTCATGAGTATGCTTAGAATGGTTCTAGGTGCAGAAAGGTTTAGTTGAAAAAGATCCCATCTTTAACTATCACACATCACTAAAGATCAGATTCCCACAAGGCAGCTTATTCAAGGAAGCACATCATGTCAAGAAACAAAACTGTGTATGCAGCATGATCTTAGTTCTAAAAAGCATTCATGCTCATGTTTGCACATATAAAATGAGTAAATACACACAAGATAAATAATGATTGCAAATGGTATGATTTTAGGTGATTTTTATAGTCTTTGTATTTTTGTATTTCCACTTAAATGTAGAATCATAGCTATTTAAAAGTTACTTTAATAACATTTTTTAAATGCTTGTACTTTTGTTTAAAATGCTCATATAAAATTTTAAGTGAAAAATAACAAACCAGTCATGTGTAGAGGCATTAAGACCAACAGTTAAGTTTTGCTGTGTAAGTAATCAAAGCATGAGAGGAAGAAAACACATAGAAATAGTAATTATCTCTGGGCATTATAAATTCTACTTTTTGTATTTCATTAGTTTCTTTACAACAAATATGGTTTATTTCAATTAGTATTAGTATGCTAGATCTTGTGCAATCTAGAATAACTAATAAAAGGAAAGAGAAAATAATACTGAGAAAGCATTTTATCTTTAAAAAAAATATATATATATACTATTTTTCCTTCCTTCTAGTTTGTTAAACTTTTTGTGTAAAGAAGAATTTTCCCTTTCTCTGAATAGTGTTTGTTTTGGAGATATCATTGTGGATTCTTAAATTCTTTCAAAAAATTAAATTGGTTATAACCCATTATATCCTGTCCATTTTATTAAATTCTAAAATATGTCTTTGCTTTTCCCCAGAACCATAGAATCTTAATGTCCAATGTCAGCTCAAGTGCTGTTATAGTATAAGACATTATTTCTTTTCTTTTCTCTTTTTTCTTTTTGAGAAAGAGTGTCACTATGCAGTTCAGGTTGGTCTTGAACTCATGGTGATCTTTCATCCTCAGGCTCCCAAGTGCTAGGTTTACAGGTGTGTACCACCATGCCTAGCAGAAGACATTATTTCTATATTGTTTTCTTTAAGCCCACATATTTTAATCAGTCAACATTTATGTCAATTTGCCCACATATTTGGCATCATCTTTACTGGCTATTCCTTTCTTAATCTTGGATGTCCATAATGTTTCACCTTCTTCCCAGCATAAAACCTTTTCTAGGAGTCAGTTGGTCACAAACTATTTCTGGTTGTCTAGAAATCTCCCTACTTTGCCTTAATTCTTTAATGATAGTCCTGCTAACTATTCACATAAAAATCTTTGGCCCTCCAAGGACTCAACTGTAGTAAAACTATAAGATCATTTAGGTAGGGAATATTTGGACAATAATATTCAAAAAGCATGCAAAATGTTTAAAAATTATTTGAAATTGTCATAGTTTTGGTATGTTCACCTAATAAAAGTTATAATATAAATCACACTTAACTCGTTGCTTTGTAAATTTAGCTAAATTCAATCACAAATGACAGAGACTGGAAGGAGTGATGTTCCTGAACTGTTCTCACTAAGCAGCAGCATTAGATCAATGCCTCCCACTTTCCCTGCAGGGTCTTCAGTCAGGGTCCCGACTGTCTTGAAATAAGGTCCCTGCAGTTGGTAACATGGACAAAGGACCTAAAGAGAATCTTGTCTATTAAAAAGCAGAACTATCTTGTGCTACTTTTAACTTTTTATAAGCATTAAGACCCTGAATGATGAGTCTTGTCTATGGAATAATCAGAAGTGGTTACAGTAACAGCATTTGTCAGAGAAACAGTTCCGCAGTCTTTTAGCTATTCTGTCATCAGCTTCAGGATGCATTTGTATTTCCAGTTAGAAGAATGCTGGCCTCAAGCCAAGGAGAGGGACAGCTTATCAGAGGCAGTTTGTTCCTCCCCCAGAGCCAAGATTGCTTGGGTGACTTTTCTGCAGACTGCTATCAATACTGTCACCTTTTCATTAAGATAATGCAACGTTGCCAGGGATTTAACTCAGTGGTTCCGCTGCCTGCCTCACAAGCGCAAGGACCCAAGTTCGATCCCTGGTACCCAAAACAAAAACAAAGAACCCAGATATGCAATGTGGAGTTCCATTTGTAAAGAGGTGACTCAGTCTGATTTCCCACCTTGTGTGACACCCGGGATGTGTCTCGTGTTTACCATAAGTACAGTTTTCTGATGACGCTGCAGGCTGTGTCACCTGGGACCAGCAGACACACTGGAGTGGGCTTTGGTTCCACTTCACACCTGTCTGGGATTGTCCCTATCATGTGGATCTTGTCCGAGTCCTCTCACTTTTTTTTTTTCTTTTTTGCCAGCTGAGCTGTATGTTTAAGGTGTTGTTTTTCAGTGTCCTGAATTTTTAAGTGTTTAGTACAGAGAAAGTTTTAGTTTTCATTATTGCCCAGAATGAAGTCCTTTCCTTTTTACCTTTCTATTTTGAGCTTCTCCAAAGAACCCTGGCAATGTGGTCTTCATGAATTCTCCAAGTAAACGTGGAGGCCCATTTCTGCTGAGTTCTGTCCAAACATTTGCTGTCACCAAAGGAAGCCCCAAATTCCTTGTAAAAAAACTTATTTGTATTCAGTTAAGAACTGTTTTCAGACACTTAAGCAAAGGAAATGCCAGTGTAAGTCAACACCAAAGTGTCGGGGGATAAATCGACTAATGATCTTTGTGTATTTCAGATTTGGCGCAGATATGACGCAGACAGCAGTGGCTTTATATCAGGTGCTGAGCTTCAGGTAAGTGTAACTGGACAAAGGCAACTTATCACTGGGAGAAGTGCAGCTTTATCATTGGGAATTTGATTAATATAAAGCATGAGTTTGATTTCTGTGGCCCAAGAAATATGGATTTGAATTTGTTACATTTGAAACAATGTATTCATGTAGGAAGAATTACAAAATTGATGTTACACTGCTGTCTTTGGGAAAGAGGCATAACTGAGCATGTAGGATACTTTTTTTCTTGCCAGGGGCTATTTTCTGGGTCCCATGAGCTCCCTTTAAACAGTGACAGCTCTGCAATCATGAACTGATTGCTTGTTAAAAGCATATTATTTCCTCCTCAAAACAAACAGGCCTCTAGAGACCTCTGCAGCTTATTTGCTTGCAGGATAAATGTCACTTTTCTTTTGATGTCACAGAACTTCCTCCGAGACCTTTTCTTCCACAACAAAAAGGCCATTTCAGAGGCAAAATTGGAAGAGTACACGGACACCATGGTGAGTCAGAGTGACTTCCAGGAGGGTGGTCCTCGGCGGCCTCTTCCAGCCCTTGGGAAGTGCTTGTAGAGTGAGTGAATGTGTGAGAAGAAACTCATCACTGGGGAGCCCAGCCCCTCTCAACCTCAGGAACAGATTGTGTGTATTTTTGAGAGAAGGCCTCCTCCTTGTTTCTGGGAAACCAGGAAACTCCAGGTGACATTAGGTTTCTAAGCACCTGGACAGCAACTTGCGTGTTAATCAGTCACACAGCAACAAGGAAGCAGGGACCTAGATCTTCAGGACCAAACAGTGGGCTGCTGCTCCCTGATGCAGGAGGTGATATTTGGCACTGAGTGCACTGACCTGGAGTAGTGGAAGGTCAGACAGATGGAGGATATATGTCTTTCCTCTGCCACGTACTAGCTATCACTGAGGAAATGTCAAGCTTCTAAGTGTTTTTTACTTGTTTGTAATATGAGACCTAAGGATACCTCCTTACTTGGAGGCAAAGGGACTCGGTGCAGGTAGAACACCAAGGTGCATGTGTCTGGGACAGTTTGCTCTCCCTGCAGTACAGTGGTACCGCGGTACTTGTCCTTGGTTCCAAGAGGTGTGACGATGAGTATCAAATTGTTTTGGCAGTAAAGGGTGTAACCAGTCAAGGGGTAATCGACACTGACAAGTTGTAGCACCAAACAAAGGATGCGTACTGCATCAAAATGTGTCAAGGACCAAACTTGACAAGTTTCAAAGCAGTTGCATATGGAGGTATGGCTGTAGTTGTGTCTTCATTGTGAGTATTTCACAATCCTCTTGTGGTGCTCTTGTCCCAAAGGAAGCTGAGACTATTTCAGTGTGGAGTTCCCTGCCTTTGAGAACTCTGTTCTGCTACCTCACACAATGCACTTCTCCCAGCACTAGCCAACCATTCCTGTGGAACTGGACTTGGTTTCTCCACCTAGTGCCCTCTCATGAGCTCTACAGTTCAGCTCATCAGATCTGCAGGCTTTTTAGTAAGGAAGTAGTTTGCTGACCAAGGCTTAACTGTGTACTTGCGAGATTGTTACATACATTTATTTATTTATTTAGATACCGGGGATTGAACTTGGGACCTCGTACTTGCGAATCAGGTGGCAGAACCACTGAGCTAAATCACTGGCCCTGTTACATTTATTATATAATGGTTCCTGAGCAGACTGACCTCACTGAGTCTTGGGGTGGAGAGTCAGGGGTGCAGACCATTGAGAAGAGAGTATGGGCTTCTCTCACAAGGGGAGCCCCTAAGTTGATCAACAGAGACTTGGAGCTGGTGTTTCCCTATGCTGAGACTCACTTTAAAGGTCATGTGACTAAGAAGTGCCAGAGGTATCAGTTGTACTAGTAGCTAAACTGCCCTGGTTTTTAGTCCTGGGCCCTCCTTGCCTCAAAATCTGGACCCCGCTATTCTGAATGCTGCTCCCTACCTGTGATCTGCCCTGGGAAGGAAGAAAGTGTTCTGGACCACGGTCATTTCTAAATGGCCTGGATAGGAAAAAGGGTGATGTCAAGGGGAGAATCAAATCCCAGGACAGGATATCAATTAAGGAAGTAAAACTGTCTTCTTACTATGTCTGTTTGTTTCAATAATGTGCAAAATGATGCTCAAATCCCTGAATAATATGAGCATGGGACTAAAGGTCAAGTGCAAAGTCTCCCAGAAGCAGGAAGCAGTTTCCTGGCCATAGGATGGTCACTTTTTTCAACCTGAGCTGCAGGGAGCCCTGCAATAGAATGAACAATATAAGCAGGAAATTAGATAGAAATGGCTGAAGTCTAGAACAACAAGGAGATTCTTTTTCTAGTTGAGCATATTTAATTTTAAAAAATATTTTTATAATATTTATTTTATGTCATAATTTCTTGGTCCTTAATTAAAGTGATACAGTTTGGGGAAATAAATGCTACCTTCCCTTTTTTTGTTGCATATGTGCTAACAAAGAATAGGAAAAAGACCCTATGAAAGAATAAGCAAAGAATGTAGGATATGCAAAGATGGGAAAAGAAAAGTGAGAGTTTATATGAATCCTTTTAAAAGAAGCAGTATCAACCCACAAATTTCCAGGAGGATACTGTACAGTGTTTGCTCTTCACAGAAATCATCTGGAGCCATAAATTTAAAAACCACAGCACGATAGTATGGGCTTATTTTCAGATATCATGCATGTACTTTTTTTTTTCTTACTGTTCAAGCCGCATAGTGATTGTGCTCATCAAGCGCTGTTAGTACATTATTCAGCAAATACTCTGACCACTTAAATCAACCTTGGTTAGCAGAGGGCAATCAGCTGCCTTGTGTAGTTCTTACTTTCAAGTGAAACAGCTCTACACTTCTTGAAGTGCATCCCTGTGTTAGTTGGGTTTGCAATGCACTTACCAGCTGATTGTGGATAAATTAAGTGACACCTTGGTTAAGTGTATGTTCGTACAAGCTCCTGGCACAATCAGACTAGATAGTAAATGTAAATGAAAGCTCTTTAGCCACCCCCCATTCCTCTGGAGGTTTTGATCTGAAGTCTTTGGCTGAATGACACACAGCAGGAATAAATACTCACTCTGCTTTGAACATGGCAGAATGTGTCTTACAAGAAGCTTGCTTCCTAAATCAACAGTTCTTGCTGTTCAATCCTTTAGAACTGGGTGCTAGGCACATTTTAAGACATCAATGTAGCAGAATATTAGAACTGGCTGTTACTATGTCAATTTTATTCACTTATAAAGCATGAACTACACAGAATAAATAGATTTGTATTTTTCATCTTTAGCTTATTACCAGTATTTTTCCAGCATGAAGCCCTTTGACTTTGAAGGCTTGTTCTCATTTCCTACTAATAATGATAAACGACTTTCTGATTGCTTAATATATTGTAGCTGTGTTTTTTTTCTCCTTTTCTTCATCTGGCTCTTGATCTTACTTCGAGAGTCAGTTGGATATTATCTTGCCCCAAAAAGCTTCTGGCACCTTCTTCCATAGTGAGTTCCAGGATCCCTTCTCCAGGTCCCTGTGGTGAGTGTCACCATCCTGATGCCATAGTGTTTCATTTATTCATTTAATTCCTTCTCCAAATATTCATTAAATACTTACCATGCCTCAGGCACTATTCAAGTCACTGAGGATTCTACAAGGGGCACAAATGGCAAAGAAGAGACTGACAACAAACAGTATATGCCATAAATAATAAATTATGTTGCATGATAGAGAGTGATGAATGTTGTGGAAAAAAATGGAGTTGTAGATCTTGCTGGGGACATCTGTGCTCCAGAGCAGCTGTGGTGGGGGCTGGGGAGAATGCCTAATTTCCAACAGGGCACCCAAGGAAGGTAGGAGGTGAGGAAGGACTAGGGTGGAACTAACACAGGCCAGGGGGCGGACACATTGGAGACATTTTGGAGCAGGGAGAACCAGTATGGCTGGAGCAAAGTGAGCAAAGATGAGTCTAACCAGTGTCCAGACCAGGATGGGCTTTCAGGTGCTTGTGAGAACTTGCAGCTCTATCTGGGAGAGACGGGAGCTGCTAAGAGGGTCTGAGGCAGAGGATGTCATCATGTGGCTGCTGTGTTGGGAATAGCTTGGAATGGAATGGACAAGGATGGAATCAAGAGGACCCATAAGTGGTCCTTGCTTCCATCCAGGTGAGAAAAGATGGCACCAGGGGCCACCAGCTTGGGATAGCGAGGTTTGTGGGATGGAATGGACAGGATTTGCTGATATAACAAGTGAGTCTGGGATGGCACTGACATGGTCCATACGTGTCTTCTTTAGGGCAAGAACAGTGTCTTTTCTCCATGTGCCAGCCCACAAAGGGCCAAGCACATAGTAGCCTACTTAATGCAAATTAACCTAAATTTTCCATTCTTATATAATAGCAAGCTGTGTGTAAACCATGGCAGAACCTTGCCCTGCATCCCGTTATAGCTCTTGCTCCCCTGGTTTGTCTGGTGGGTTGCAGACTGTCCATCTCAGCCTTCACACACACTTCCTCCAAGTAGTGCCTAAAGTCTGAAATTCTTTTTTTGTTTGTTTGTTTTCCCTTAAAGTGGAATCTCCAAGATGGAACCAGAAAGGGAGTCTGGCGGTGCTGGCTTGTGTGCATGTGATATTCTACCTTCATGGAGCATCAACCAGCACATATTCTGCTACTGCATATTTTAATCATAATAATTGTGTTCACTTTATACTGGGCTGGCTTTGAAGCATTTTCAAACATCTCATTTGATTCACACCAAATCTCATAAAGCTCCCTCTCTACAAATGAAAATTCTGAGGATTATAGATTTTAACAGGTCTAATGTATAAAGAGAGGAGTGGAAATTCACAACTGAATCTACCTTTAAAGCCTATGTTTTCCACTGTCACATTCTTGTCTGAAGGCTGAAATTTAACATTGTTAAAAACATGTTCAAAAGCAGGAGAGCAAGACTGTACTGACAGGTCATAAAGAGATGACCATTCTGGGAAGAAAGGGAAGAATCTGGCAAGAATAAATTCAAGTGAGGGAATCTGGATTTTATTTTTTTTCCATTAAGTTTATTGGTACTTTTTAGGTATATAGTACAGTTACATTCATCATTGGGATCTTGTACCTTATCACGATGTATCTTCGTTCTTATTTTTTCCCCACACCCCTGCCCTCTCGTCACCCCCCAACCATCCCTGTTTACAAAGACTTTGTTTCCATTTTTCCTTTTCTTATATTTTTTCTTTTCCCTTCTTTCCTTTCCCCTACCCTTTCCACTTCTCCTACTTCTTTAGCCCTCTTCTTCCTATTTCACATTTTCTTTTTTTTTTTTTTTTGGAACTGGGGATTGAAGTTGGGTCCTTGTGCTTGCAAGGCAGGTGGTGGAACTACTGAGCTAAATCCCTGGTCCTCACATTATCAATTATACAGTTTGAACCTTATTTACACTCTTAGTTTTTCACACTAGAGAAACTATTCAGTATTTACACGTGTTCCTATTTATTTCACTGAAGAGTATGGCCT